CGGGGGGCGGGGGGGACGGCAGTGTGAGTGGGGGGGCACGGGGGCGAGGGACCCTGGCACTGTGAGTGGGAGGGATCCGGGGGGCAGGGGGACCCCGGCACTGTGAGTGGGGCCCGGGGGGGCTGGGAGGCGGAGGTCACCGTCTGGGCAGGGGTGGGGAGCCCCAGTCCTGGAAGGAGGGTCTGGGGACTGGGGGGGGTCCCCTGCCCCCTTCTGACCCCCCCATTGCTCTGCCCCCCACCCCCAGTCCCGGAGCTGAACATCCTGAACAAACAGTCGCTGCGGATTCACATCGTGGAGACAGGGAAGGAATCGGACATGGCCCCCCTCTTCTGGGTGCGCGGGGGTCGCCATAGGGCGCTGTGGGGCAGGGCTGGGCTCTGGTGGGTATGGGCGGCAGGGGGCGCCGTGGGGCAGGGCTGGGCTCTGGTGGGTATGGGGGCGCCGTGGGGCAGGGCTGGGCTCTGGTGGGTATGGGGGAGCAGGGGGTGCCGTGGGGCAGGGCTGGGCTCTGGTGGGTATGGGGAGGCAGGGAGCGCCATGGGGCAGGGCTGTGCTCTGGTGAGCATAGGGGGGCACCGTGGGGCTGTGTGGGGCTTGCCGTGCGCATGGGGGGGCAGTGGCAGACATCCCCCCTCGGAGGGCAGGTTCAGAGCAGGCCCCATCTGTGACCCCCCCTCCCCTTTGGGCCACCAGGAGCTGTCGGTGCTGCTGCCCCACGTGTCGCTGGAGCTGCTGTTCGTGGGGGGCGTGTTGCCCCCCGAGGCCGACGGGCAGCAGGTCCTGCTGCAGAGAACGGTGAGGGGGGGGCCATGGGGGCGGGAGGAGGGGGAGCCCCAAGCCTCAACCCCCCCATGGCTGATTCCCCCCGTCTCTCCCCCGCCCCCAGGAGGCACAGGGGGTGCGCATCTGGCCCGGCCCCGCCCCCAAGGCCAAGGGAGGTCGGGGGGGGCTGCAGCTGAAATTCTGCGCCCAGCCCACCCCCCTGCTGCCAGGCCCCAAACCCGACCTGGTCATCGGTGAGTCCTCCGGGGGGGGCCCTGGCTGGGGGGGGGGGGAGTCTGGGGGGTGGGGCGACAGGGGGGGCAGGG